AACAACAGAATGAGTGTGAAGAACAGCTCCTACAGAATTGCTGTGGGGTCAGAGTCTGTGACCCAGGACAAATGCCTCACCATCTTTATGCCTCAGGTTCCTTTTATTAAATAATGGCAACAATCTTCTCAAGTGAAGTTCTTCCTTCCAGGTATTAAAGCAGTGTGGCTTTCTGTACCTTCCAATGGTGCCAGCCACAAAATAAATAAATCCATGACTGCTGTCTCCAATAATACTTTCTCTAGGGATATGTCTTTTTCTGGTGGATGGGATGCCCTGGATATAGTTTCAAGTTACCCCTCAGAGAATGGGCCTCTGTCTGTCTCATTTTTGGTTCAGTTGGGCCTACAGGACGTTGGGTGACTGTGTGCTCCTCGTGAATGGAATTTTCTTGTGTCTAGCTGACATGGTGTTCAGCTGGCAGTTCTGGTGAAGATGACCCTGGAAACGTTTTGGTCACAGTCCCCTGAGGCCTTTCCCATGGCCTTCTCAGGCCTAGTACTGCCACCACCAGTATTCAGGACCCTGTGTGCACAACACCTTCCTCTCCCTGCAAGGGATGTGCTCACTTCTCCGTAGATCTATCAAATGTGGGAGTGTCAATCTGGCCTCCTTCCTCCTGGGAAAGGAGCCCTGGTTCGAGCTCGCAGAGAAAGGCATTTCACTGAGGTCTTTCCCACTGTGCTGTGTTGGGAAACACGGCCACTTGTTGGCCACGTGTGTGGGGTGTGGCAGGTTGCATGGTGAGTGGATATTTACCTCAGATGTCGTGCTTGGGATGCAACATTTGCAGGTGTTAAAAGTTAAGGACAGTACATCAGGGTGCCACAGTTTGCACAGTGCAGTTTTTGTTGGGCCCTTAACTCACTCCATTTTCCGGACTGACCTCCACAGATCCTGCCTCAGCCTCGCCAGGAGGGCTGGGATTCTAGGACTGCCCACCACGCCTGGCTCCGGTGCCAGCGTCTACGAGTCGCACATTCTCTGTGTGGGTGTAAAGTTAATAGGAGGTTCAGTGGAAGAACTAAGTGGTTTGGCCAGTGACTCTCATTGTTTTTCGATGAACTACAAGGCTGTGTGATGTAACTCTTGGTAAAATGATGAGTACGATTTAAATTCTGAAAACTATAGGTTGCTTGAAGAAATTGGGTGCGGAGATGTTTTAGTCTGTTTTTGTTGCTATGTATGACGAAATAGCATACAGCCAGGGTTATTTATGGAGAACAAACTTTTTGAATTTTGTTCTAAAAATACTTAAAAAAATGTGTGTATACATGTTTTGCCCGCATGTATGTATGCACACCATGTAGATGCTAACAGAGGCCATCAGATATCCTGGAACTGGAGTTACAGGTGGTTGTGGCTGGCATGTGGATACTGAAAATAGAGCCCAGGTCCTCTGCAAGAGCAGCAAGTACTCTAACCACTGAGCCATCTCTCCATCCTTGGGAAGAGTATTTAGTTCATGGTCCTAGGGTTAGAGAGGTCCAGGCCAAAGAGCTGTCTAGTAAGGGAGTACTTTTGAGTTCACAGTGTAAAGTACTACCGCTACTCTAGGCCTTCTTGCTGGTAGGGTAGAGCCTCTGTAGAACCTCACCTTGGCAGGTGTCTCATGGCAAGAGGAGCATGTCAAGAGACAGCAGTAAAGCAGTTCTTATGGGTACCCACTGGAGATGACCCGTTAGCCTGTTAATCTGTGAAGGTCCTAGTCACAAATGGAGACAGAGTAAAGATCCTGACCAAACCTAAGCGAGGATTAAAGCTCAGCCTGACAGGTCATATTCAGACCAAAGCCTGGCTTCCAGTGTGGTGCTCCCAAGTGAGCAAATGGACTGGGGATGTTAGTATGGTCAGGTGTAGACACCTGGGCAGTGAGCCCCATAGGTCAACTCCTGACATTTTCCACTCAAGGGCCTGTTGAAAGTTTGATATATGGAACACTGTTTCTGTTTTGCTATGAATTCAGCATTTTGTTGCAATGAGCCCTTCTGGTTAAAATAAGCAGAAGCATATCTGGGGTGCTGTAATTTTAGTGTTACTCACATAGGGTTTCTTTCTTTCTTTTTTTTAATCTGCTTTCCCACAGAGGTCACTTTTGTATTCTCTTTGGACCTGTGACTGCCACATCACAGAAGAAGCAGCGACAAATCCAGCTTGTGCTTAACTAAGATTCCTGGTCTTTTGGTTAGCAGTTGAGGCTGATGGCTCTTTGGGGATGAATGGAGAAGAACCCTCAAACCTGCTTTTGTTACAGATGAATTTGATGTTTAGGGCAGTGGCTGAGCCCAGGCCTACAGCTGCTCCAGAGGCAGAGTCCTAGTGTCCAGTCTTCATTCATGCATTTATTCTGAAGAGATGAAGTGATGACCCCAAGCCTGGGGCCACGTCCTCCAGATGTCTTCCAGCAGGGTGGTGGTTACTTTCACCAAGTTACCTGGAAACATGACAAGGCCCTGTCCCAATGTCAGTGATTTTGATTACCCACTAGGATTGACATGGAGATGAAGGGAGATGAAGTCACTTCTGGAAACTGCTGTTGGGTGGAGCTACACCTTTGGGAAGTAAGGGTGTTGGGATGGTCCTGGGCAGCAGGTCTAGGTGATGTGGCTAGACCACAGCTGCAAGGAAGGAGCCAGTTGTACTGAGGCCAGCTTTGCACGTGAGCCACTGCAGTTTGGTGCAGTCCTCGCCTCAGATCCACCTTTGGTGGCTTTTTCTGTTGTCTTCCTTTTGCCTGACACCACCAAGTTTGGAACAAAAGGGCAGAGCATCCCTTTGCATGGTAGGGAGAGGCCTAGAGATCGTACCTGAGACTGACCGTGTCTTCAGGCTAGCTGCAGCCACGGTGGCTTCCTCCCTCCCTATTCAGATGTCATGTGTATTCTTAGTAGAAAAGGAAACAAAACAGACAACAAGAATAAAACAAACACACTCCTACAGAAATATATGAGAGAAGCAGTGCAGAACTGTGTTCCAGAAAGAAAGTGCTCCTGAACTAGCCTGCATTCAGCATTCTGTCTGCATCCACTTGAATGTCGTTGTCTGTTGTGTGTGAGATTCACGGACCAATGATCCTGATTTAGGATTAATGAACTTGAGCTCTCCACAGTGGCAGGTCCTCTGGGAATAACAAGAAGTTCTCTAAGCTGCTGGTTCATCTTTCTAACCCCTAAGTTCATTTTTGTTGTTGTTATTTGATGATATTTTTTTACTTTGGGTGCGTTTCTCAGGGACACTCCCGCTGTAGGTGGAGGAGCCCCTCTTCTTGTGTGCTGGTGATCCCCTGAGCTTGGGCAGGCCCCGCTGGCCATCAGATACATAGGATGCGTTTCTATCGCAGAATCTCCTCTCTACCTGCAGAGCTGTACAGCTTCCCAGTCGCAGCTCTTTCTTAGCTGTTTGCCCTTTACGGTTATATAAACACTGTCTGCATGGCCTATGATACACACTCTTGGTCATTGTTTTAGGATCCTTCCTGAGGACTGATGGGAGGTGTACAGTGCTTGTCATATCTGCTCACAGTGCCTTCGGACATCAGGACTCAGTTTATATAACTGTAGTACTTGTACAAAACTAAGTTTCTGAACTATCTATCTATCTATCTATCTATCTATCTATCTATCTATCTATCTTCTGATAAATACAGATTCTGTTTTGAGATCATCTAGTCTGAACCCTGTTAATTTTTGCATTCTGCATCAGTCTTTCACAGATTCAGGGGTTGGAGAGTGGGTTGGGAGGCCAAGAGGAGAGGTTCTGGAGGCACAAGGACTCCTCCCGCCTGGTGTGAACAGTAAAGGCTATGGCCATCTGGGATTAGACAGAGTTCCAAGCTGTATCCAAGCTGTATTCCCCAAAGGCCCAGGGATACGATGGACCTGGCCGTGTCATCTAACAAAGGAGAGAATCAGCCTTCGCTAATTGGCAATATGGAGTAGAGCCACTTGAAGGCTCTGGATGCCTTGATAGCCAATGCAGGGTGTGGATTCTGGCCTCTGCCTGGGTGGCACGGCTTTCCTGTTTGGGGCTTTGGTTTCTTGGAAGGCTTTGAGTTGGGATGGTTTTGGAGAAACAGCTTTCTTGAGTTGTTTGTACCATTTATTTTTTTGTCCCTATAATCACACTGAAGTGGAGGGGAGCCTAGGTATAAATTAAAATTAGGGGTACATGATGCTTCTAAGTGGTCATGGAGTTTAAGTTCACAGGATTCTGCCTCCTAAAAGGGCTCTCTGCCTCTTAGTACAATACTGCCCAGTGTCATGGGACATGGGGCAAGAAGAGTATTTTGGAGTGCCATGGAAGGGGTGCCTAGGCTTCTCCTCCTGCCTCTGTTGGCTTTGACGTGACCTGTTCCCTCACTGAGTCTCAACCTCTCTTCTGAAGTGTTGAGGTCACTTTACTCAGTAGTTGCCAGGTGACACTGTACAGAGAAGTCAGAGAGGCTGTTTAGGGGCAATGCCCTGTGAACTGTACTTCATGAACACTCATAACACCTCTGCAGTAATTCGTGTGTGACCCCAGTGTGTAACACAACCCTTAATACCCACTGTGAGCTGGAGTTAGAACCTGAGGCTTTTTTCTCCCTGTGGGTAGATGTTTGTGTTTAGCACCACCGAGAGGTGCTGGCTCGTATTTATGATTGCCAACCATGGCTGACATTGATGGGTTTGGGTCTCCTCTGTACCACGTCAAAGTCTCTGTATGTGCTGAGTTTGTGGCCGCCCAGCCCTTGAGAGGGGTTAGTCTCACCATCTTCTGCCTGCTGCCCTTGAATGAAATTGTGCCATTTGGCAACCCGAAATCCTCCAATAGGCAGAACACCTTCCTTGGAGATAAAGAGGGTGGGAGTGACAGTGTTTGCTTACCATTGATGTTTCAACTGTGTGACGGCTGTCATTCTTCCTCCTGGTGGTAGCAGCATGGCTAGGTGGTTGGTCTAGGTTCTGTATGGGCTGGTATGGAAGGAAATCTCAAAAGGATTCATGTTTTCATATTTGTAGGCTTCCGAGAGTTCCACATCGTCTTCTGCTCTCCGCTGTGACAAGCCTTCAAGGTAAGTGCGTGTTTCTGTGGGAAAGAAGCTCATTCCTATGTTCCTGGCCATGGGTCAGGGTTGATTCCCAGAGAGGAAGCTAGGCTATTTTATTATTCATTTTGTAGGAATCATAATGTGGTTTTGGAGGCGTGCTAGCCTGGTTCATGTTAGGCAAGTGCTCTACCACTGAGCACCCCAGCCCCTGAGCATCCCAGCTCCTCCACCCCCTTATTGATTTAAGAATTAGTCATCAAAGTTAAAACATCTTATTTGTAACCGTCAGAAGCCTGGATTGTGGCAACATCTGTGATTATGTTTGGGTAGACAGTGACATTCATTGTCGACATCTGATCAATTGTGTGACGACAATAGTGAGGAATGGGTGGCAGGCCCCGGGGAACAGCTAGCTGATTGCCAGCAGGGACCAGTAGAGGCAGCCTACATGCAGAACCTCTGGGAGGCACCTCTCTGTGGACTGAGATAGTTGTAAGAGGTCATGTTGTTGTTGTTAGTAATAGTAATAGTAATGTTTAATTCTGTTTATTTTAGAAAAATAATAGAAACTCGGGCTGGAGAGATGGCTCAGAGGTTAAGAGCACTGGCTGCTCTTCCAAAGGTCCTAAGTTCAATTCTCAGCAACCACATGGTGGTTCACAACCATCTATAATGAGATCTGGTGCCCTCTTCTGGCTTGCAGTTGTACATGCAGGCAGAACACTATACATAATAAATAAATAAATCTTTAAAAAAATAGAAACTCTTTCATGTCTATTTTTGAAGAATAAAATGGAAAAGAAAAGAATCTTTGAAAATGTTCAAATATGTCAACTGTAAAAAACAAATTCATGCTATTGCATATTTGCTGTTGTTTCTCCTTTTAGGTATGATAATGTCATTATAGGTGATTTGATAAAGTCTTCTAAAATCTATACTATCAGTGTTTTCTTGATATCTATCTCTATTATCTATTTGTCTACATCTGTCTATCTGTCTGTCTATGCATTATCTCTTTCTTTCCATCCATCCACCCACCCACCCACTCACTCACCCCTCCATCTATCATGTATCTGAGACAAGGACACAGTGGGCAGTCGTGGCTGGCCTGGAACTCCTATGTAAACCGGGCTGGCTGGCTAAGAATCCTCAGAGCTCTGCCTGCCTTTGCTTCCCAAATGCTAAGATTAAAGATGTATGCCACCATGCCTGATACTAATATTTTTTTTTCAAGGTGAAAAATATCTAGGCTTGCTTCAGAGTAGTTGCAAAAAGGAGAGTAGACTTCTATGCAGAAGCTAGTCAAATGTTGTTGGAAACTTCAGGGTGTTGGTGACTATGAAGGGTCAAATAGGGATGACACTGGTGAATGCTGGTGATTTGAAGGATGGATGGGTACATGGAGTTTTGGTGAATCATTTTTCTTGTTGTCTGAAAATCAAAGAAAGACAGAGAAACACATATAGTAAAAGCAAGAAAAATAAACCCAGGCCAGAAGCTTGGGTATGGTGGCAGCAGTCGATGACATCCTACTCTGGTTTCATTTACGGTGTTTTCTCTTGGGTTTATCCCTTTGCCTGTGAGAAGGGACTCCTTCACAGCAGAATGTCTGCTTTCATCAAATCCTCACTCATCTACTTTCCAGGGATGGATCTAGCCTCATCTCCAGGCTTTCTGCAAAGACCCTCCCCTCTTCCCACAGCTTCTCCAGTCTGCTTCACAAGGCTTTTCCCCAGAAGTAGCATGGAGACAGGGTTGCTGCTTGCTTCTGTGCTGCTTGTTACCATCTGTGGTCTCTGCTTCTACCACCCTTGTTGTCTGTCTCATGCTGACCCTGATGCCTTGGAGTCAGGCTTGCACTCCTTCTCCAATAGCCAGTCTCTGGGCAAACTATGGAGCCCGCCATACCTCCCTGTGTGCCCACTTGCTTTCTCCCCACGCCCCTGCACTCTTTTTTGAGCTTCTCCTCTGCTTATTTCCAGTGGTTAGGCCCTTGTGTCTGTTCAGTCCTGGCCTGCAATAGATCTTATGTACTCTAGGGAGTGGGGATTGTAACAGTCCGAGGAAGCTGTGTTTCCAGCTCTCTCCTGAAAATCCTACAGGGTGAGTATTCATCCTTTTACTGACTGCCTTCTTCACTCTTGCAGGCCCCTGGTCCTGAGACCAGCTATGGAGGACAGCCATGAACTGGACCTCACATACGTCACAGAGCGTATCATCGCAGTGTCCTTCCCTGCCAGCTGCTCAGAGGAGTCCTACTTGCACAGCCTTCAGGAAGTCACACGCATGCTCAAGTCTAAGCATGGAGACAACTACCTGGTGAGTGGGCAGGACAGCCACAGTGAGGCAGAGAAGCTGTAGGCATGGGCCCTTCAGAGGGTGTATGTGAGGGCCAGCTATATCCGTATGTCTTGCTTACAAACGCAGAATGGTCTTGGGGTCTGGAATCTTAACCCATGAGTCTAGGAGGTGGGAGTTGACCATGTGTTTGCCCTTCCAGTATTCGCTTTGCTCTTATAGGTTGTGTCATGAGCTGTGACAATTGACGAAAGGGCTGGCTGCAGCCTCTTTCCAACACTAAGCATGACGTCTCATCAGTAAGACTGGTTCTGGAACTGTAGGCATTCCCAGTCAGAGCTACTCCTGGCTAATGGTATCCCTGGTGTCAGGAGGCAACCCCGTCCCCTCCTTGCTATCCAGGGCATTGGAAAGGCAAGAGGGTAGGTGTCCAAGAAACAAGGCAATCCTGGAGGCAAAGCCAGATAGCCTGATTTCATAACATGCGTGTGTCAAATGAGGGAGACTATGTCTGAGCAGAAGTAGAAGAATGGTTTCTCAGGTTCCCCTCTCTGGTTGGTCTTGTTCTCTGTCAGGGCTGCCAGTCCCAAGGAGCCTCTTCCTGCTGCTGTAATCGCTTCTTAGATTACACGACAGCTTCTAGCACCTTCTCTCATGCTGCTGCCTTATCTAGGGAGAGCTAATCTTACAAAGCCAACAAGGAGGTCATTGTCACCCTTAGCAGCCTTCTCCCACGGCTAGACTCAGGGCTAGGCTCAGTGGGGACTAGCTGTGGCTTCCAGGGTAGTCTCTGCATGAACTCCTTATGACCTCTTCTCGCACTTGTGCTCCTGAGGTCTAGCCTGGTTGTGGGCAGGGGGTTAACACTCTAGTCCCCTTTCACGAGACTTCTCCAGAGCTGCCTCTTCAGTACCAGGGCTCCTCCTTCAGTGGCTTTCTCCCCACCTTCCCGAAGCGACTGCCAGGGGCATTCTCAAGCCCACAAGCCTTTTGTGGAAGGCACTCAGAGTGATGTAGCCAGTCAGGACATGGTGCCCCGTGCCCTCCAAGGAAGGGCAGCTGAGTGCTAGTGATTCAGTCAGGGCAGGAGTGGGCTGAAACTCAGTGGATCGGAGAGGTAGCTGGGCCTGAGTTAGGGGAGGAACCATGTGTCCTCTAAGGGGACACGTGGTCTTTTGTAGGACTTGATTCCACACATGGCTGCGGTTTGTTAGCCACAGGTCTCAAGCGCAGGCTTTTCCATACCTGGCTCCTCTGCTGAGGAGGGACTCCTGCCTGTCCCCAGGGTATTCCCTGAGCAGGCCAGGAAGAGCTACTATAGATATGTGTGTACAGACCTTGTGTTTTAGAATGCTTGAAGCTATTAAGATTTAAAAAAAAAAAAGCTAAACAGACAAAAAGGAAAAGTTTATCTTCCCCATTTTGGCTTCAGTTCACAAAAGTAAACTAAAAATTTGCAGGGATTCAGGTGCTATCCATATCTTTGTTTTTATCCTGTGACTACACACACACACACTTTTGCGTTTCAGTCTCTTTTGGTCCTTAGAGGCAACTGTTGAAATGCAGTTGTCTTCTTCCTCTCTGGGAACCACGATTTGTCTAAAAGCAGTTTTTCCTCTTTGTAGGTATTAAACCTTTCAGAGAAGAGATATGACCTTACAAAGCTTAACCCAAAGGTATGGAATTTAATTCTGTATGTTTTGACTTTGCAAAATGTCAGCAATGTGTGTTTTATTTGTGCAAAAGCAGTTTCTTGTAGGCCTCTGTGGAACAAAGCTTTATATTAATTATAAAACGTACATAGGTCCAGCAACCCTCTCTGAAAACCTAAAGTCAAAGCTACTCAAAAGCTAAAACTTGGCCCTGAACGATGGCTCAGTTGTTTGAGAGCACTTAGGGCTCTTGCAGGGGGACCTGAGTTTGATGCTCAGCACCTACCGTAGTAGCAGCTCAGAGCTCCATGTAACTCCAGCTCCAGAGTGGTCAGCGCCCTCTCTGCTCTACAGGCACTGTACTTATGCGTACATATGATCCCCACTCACGAATACAAAACGAAATTAGTCTTTTTCCTTTTTTAAGCCAAAACTTTGTTACATGCCAATATAACCCCATGGGAGGGAAATTCCCCACCCTGGAAACTTTATTCTACATACAACATTATTGAAAATGTATAAAATTGCCTCAAGGCACTACCCAATCCGGTGCATATGAAACACATAGGTTTATTTTGTGTTTCATCATGTGTCCTGTCCCCAAGTACAGGTATTCCAGAATTTGAAACAGAAAAATCCTCAAATCTGTCTGGCCTTATGAGATTTGGAGAAGGGATGCTCATTCATAAAACATCTGTGTCAGAAGAGCAGTGTCTGTGCAGCCCACAGCCTTCATTCACAGCTCACCAGTTTGTACACACGTGTGCCTGTGTGCACTACTCTGCCGCTATAGCATGAGTCTAGATTGTGTAGCCACGACAGTGAGGTGTAAGAGCCTTCTCCCTGTTGGGAAGATGTCTCTTCTGAGACCTCTGAATAGTCACACAGTATCCTTTCCATCCGTGATTACTCTTAGTAGCAAAGTTTAGGGATAAAATTAGGACTGTTGGACTGTGTCTCTGTGTTTGTATATATATTCTATGTGTTGAAATGCTTTGCAACATATTAGAATAGGACAGTATAGGCTGAACATCCTGTAACCTGAAATAAAAATGCTCCAAACCTCAAAACTTTTGACTAACATCATGTTCAAAAAGTTCAGACTTACAGTTTTGCCTTTCCGAAGTATAGATGTCTAGCTGTTAAAGTCTATCAAATACTCAGAGTCTGAGAAAAAAAAATCTAAAATAATTCTGGCCCCAGGCCTTTTCAATAAAGGCCTCTCAGCCTACTAGTAAGTGGAATTCACATGTGCCTTAGTTAATGCTCTGTGCACAGGGAAGGGGCCCAGAGCGTCATGGAACTGCTGTGCTGGCTGCTTTTACTGCGGTCTAGTTTACTGAACTCCTTTCTATTACTTTCATCTGTGAAACATCTCCATCCACTCCATCCTCTAAAAATAGAAAATAGGAGCAGTAACACCCCCACATGGCTCTTCCAGGTGTGTGGCCAGTGGCAGGGCTGCTTGCTTGGGGCTTTAGTTCTGTGATTTTCTCTGTTCATGTGCCAAAATAGAAGCAAAGCCTGAAGGTACTTCCTGGCTTCTGGAGGACTCTGTGACCCTGAAGTGTGGCCTCCATGGCATGGGACTTCTTCTCAGCTTGAATGGGTAGCATTGGGGAACAGTGTTGGCCACAGACTGCTCTTTTAGATCTTGGAGGTCCTAGATTCCTCTGCAGTCGAGTTTGAACCATTGATGCCTCTGGAAGGCCTCTGTGGAATTGTCACCCAACTACAAAGGAGTAGAGCAGAGCCTGGGTGAGGTATGGCCAATGGGTATTGGTGGCTCTTATTTTCTTTCCTCTAAAGGAAACTGGCCGTAGCTCACTAGCTTTCTGAAGAGGTCTACACAGCATCCTCCATGGCTGACTGTGGATGATGTCACTGAGATTCCCATAGAAGGGTCCAGGAGGACCACTGAGGCAGCTCTCTCTTTTTTGTCTTGCAGATCATGGATGTGGGCTGGCCTGAGCTGCATGCACCACCTCTTGACAAGATGTGCACCATATGTAAAGCCCAGGAGTCATGGCTGAACAGCGACCCTCAGCATGTAGTTGTCATCCACTGCAGGGTGAGTGTTCCATGCTCCCACAGGCTCTGGGGACCCCAAGTTGGGCTTCAAGACGTTAAAGGAGCCTCATGGCTTAAGGTTGGTGCTGGTCACTTGTACCAGCTGATTTTCCTTGGAGCCACTCTGTTTCTAGGATGTTTGTCAGTTGGTGTGACATGTTCCATGGAGGTATGCCTTTTAGATTTCATATTCATCCTTAAAAAATAAATAAAAGAATCCCAAGCCTGAAGTTTGGCTTTAGAATTCATAGGTCTGAGGTTCTTGTGTTGCTGAACTTTTTAAACCTCCCTTCTGTCCATTTCATTCTATACTTGTTCATTTTGAATATTAATGAAATTGCAATGAATTGTGATGATTGAAAACATATGGGTCACCAAAAGTAAAAACACCATCTATAATTTTTCTATCCCACCCCCATTTCCTTAAGCAATTCTGGGCTCTTTGGGCAGATGTCCAGGTTATAGGCTTGTGATAGTTCCCTTTCATTACCCACCAGAGTACTCGCTCATTGCTTTAAACTACTTTTGAAGTGCCCAGAAAACGTGCCATGAGAGGTAAGCTTTTAATTTGAAATTGTGGTTGCTGATGCCATCCAGAGTTCACCTTCATCATGGCTGCAGGGCTGGAATCTGTTTGCTTTGCACAATTGAGTGTTCCCTTTCACACATGCCCAGAATGACTAATAGACAGACCTGTCTCCACTGGGATGGGAGCAGGCTAGGACTGGGCTGCAGCAGCCATTCTGTTCACTACAATAGTATAATTTGTGTTCAACATGTGCCCAAGCCATTCCAAACTAGAAAGAGGCTGTGCTTCTTGTGAGAGCATTCTTCCACATTTTGCCTCTCGTTTGGAAGTCCGTGGCAAAGAACATTCCCACTAGATGTTGTGTGGGTTGAGTGTAGGACTTTTGTTAGGTCTTGGAGCAGAACTGTGGAAATCTGAAAGGCCATTGTCTACACTAAGAGCCTGTGGTCACCAGTGGATTCCACCTACCCTGTGGTTTTCTACAGCCTGTGAACTGAGAGCTGATCTGAAGGTGAAAATGCTTACAGAGTTCACTCTTAAGAGTCTGACAGGATGAGGAGGGCACGCCCATTTCCCTCCCTCACCCTCAGCTGCTCACACTCACTGCAGGACTGAGAACTTGCATCTGCACCATACCCATGAAGCCTGGGCATACACAGTGGCATCCCATCGGTACTCGGCTAGCCTTCTAAAATAAGTTTGGCAGTGTCCCTCTCATTAGTTTTTTTTTTTTTTTTTTCAGAGAGTTTTAGGATTGTCATTTCTTAACATGGTTGGTATAGTCTCCCTGATTTCACCACGGGTTGCTGGGCTGTTTGATGGGAGATTTGGGACTACTTAGATCCCTTACCTTGTTCAGATTTTCTGTTTGGGCTGGGTATGTGTTTTGCGGGACTCACCTGTTTCACCTGAATGCCTGTTTTAAGGGCCTGCAGTTGTCCATAGGAGCCATACAGAGCCTTGTGTTTTATGCTGTTGACTATTCCCTTTCATTCTGTTCTCAGTTTTTGAGTCTTCTTTTAATCTTAGCCAAAGGTTTTCTGATTTTCTTTTACCTTTAAAAACAAAAAACGACAAAACAAAAACAAAAACTTGTCAGTTTGGTTGATCTTTTCTATTTCCTGAATCTCTGTTTTATTCTGCTCTTTTTCTATTTTCTTATATTAACTTTGGGTCTGGTTTAGCCTTTTTCTAGTTACTTGAAGTATAAATTAAGGTTCTTCATTCGAGATCTTCCCTCTCTTTTTAGATGTGAACATTTATTACTATAAACTTTTCTCTTAGTACTGCTTTTGTTACTTCCAGTAAATTTTAGTGGCCTTTTCCCCCTCATTTTATTTGTCTCAATGTATTTATTTATGTGTGTGGGTGTTTTGTGTAAATATATGTCTGTGTACCACATGCATGCCCAGTGCCAGTGGAGACTAGAAAAGGGCATCCTATACTCTGGAACTGAATTTACAGATGATTGTGAGCTAGCATGCAGCTAGCTGCTGGGAATCAAACCCAGGTCCTCTGGAAGAGCAGCCAGTACTCTTAACCACTGAGCCATCTCTCCAGCTCATGTCTCCATATATTTTTAAAATTTCCTTTTAACCTTTTGTTTGACTGAAGTGCTATTCAGTAACATGTTTATCTTCTACACATTTGAGAATTTTGCATGTGTACCCCTCTGTCTCCATTCTGATTTATACGTTCATACCACAGTGGACAGAAGTGATACTTGATAGGATTTTAGGCTTAACTCTGTTGGGACTTGCTTTGTGGTCTCATGTATGAACTGTCCTTGAAGCACATTCTTGTGACCTTGAAGCCACTGTTGGTGGGATGTTCCATCTGTGTTATAGGTTCATTTAATCCAAAAGGGTAGTTTCGGTCTGAATTCCTAAGTTATTTCTTGTCTGGATTATCCGTCTGCTAATGGAATGAGCTGTCAAAAGTCCCAACTGTTGCTGCAATGCTCCCCCTCCCATCTCTCCTTAAACCTCTAACTAGTGCCACAAAAAATGATTGATGGAATCAGCAATAAAGGCCATCATGTGTGGGTCTGTTTTGGGCCAAGCTCCTGTTTCCTTATGAGTGATTTCTGTCATTAAGACAAATACCGCTTAGCTCAGGAAATACATTAGTAGCTTTGCAGTTAATAATGCCAAGAACTTACCAAGTATCTGCATTGGTATCTCCCAGAATGCACAGCTTCACATGATGGTTGATTTTGTGAAAACTCTTGAGTTTGTTCTTTTACTTGTTTTTAGGGCTGGAGCTGGGGGCTGGGGATATAGCTCAATAGTAAAGTGCCTCCTTGTGTGTATAATGTCTGATCTCTAGTACTGACTTTAAAATCTTTTCTTAAAAATTTTTTATGGTCTATTCACTTTATATTCCGATTGTAGCCTCCTCTCTTGTCTCTTTCTGGTCCCACCTGTGAGCCATCTCTCTGGTCCCAGGAACAGGATTTTTTTTTTTTTTTTTTTTTTTTTTTTAAAGCAAGAGAATAACAGAGTTGAGGAGCTCCACATTGGTGACCTGCCACTTTGGCTTTGCATGATTTGGGATCACGATTTGGGAAACTTTTCTCAAAGGATCTAGGTAGTATTTAGGCTCTGCATGCCACAGTGTCCTGCCACTTCTTCTAGCCTGCTCCTTCAGGGAAGAGTTGGAGTTGCTGAAGCAGAATAGCCAGGCTCCGGCAGACAATGAGATGAGGACATTTAAGTTTTGTGTGATTTTTTTTTTCTTCTTCTTCTTCCCCATGGCTTACAAACCAGTTCTGTTTTGATTTTTTAATTTTTACAATGTTTAAAAATACGTGATAGCAGAAATTTAGCTCACAGATTGTAGGAAAAGAGTTGGTGGGCAGAACGGAGCAGCCTTTGGGCTACTATTTGCAGAGCCCTGTCAGTAGGTCACAGCAGTATGTCCTGAAGTTTCAGTCCAGTCTGTAGGTTCTACGCGGGTCTGCTCTGACACAGAGCTTCTGCCTCTACTGCTGGTCACTTTGGCTGTGAGTGTGGTTGTGGATGTCTAAGTGGATTTCCATAGCAGCTGCCTGGGACGTGGTTTCGCTGTGTGTAAGGTCTCCTCCCTGTTGTACAAAGCGTGGTGGTGGATGCTGGTGTGGGATACCACCAGCTCACCAGATTCTGAGGTGCTGCCGCTTAGAGCTGTGTACACAGAGCCCCATCACTGTCAGCCCTTGGGCAGGCATTTATGCCTGTTTCACCTGGGTAATTAAGTCATGCTAATTGTTGCAGTTCCTGGCACCGGTTCACGTAACCTAATTGGGAGGCGGTGAGTGACTGGCTGCCGCCGTGTGGATATGCCCTCCGGGGACGTCTGCAGACACCCAGCTAGCACCTGCTCTTGTTATGGGTCCCTGTGTGAAGATCCCTGCTGAGGAGGCACTGCTGTGTTCGGTGCTTTAATATTAGGGGGGGGCGGAAGGGCTGATGCTTGTTCTCTGTCATTGTGCTCATGATCGAGCCTCTGTCCCATTATGTCTGTATGTGGGATTCTATAGAAAGAACGTTGATTTCTCTCTGGTCTCTCGCAGGGCAGTAAAGGACGCATCGGAGTGGTCATATCATCCTACATGCACTTCACCAATGTCTCAGCCAGGTAGGATGGAGATGGGGGCTCATTTCCACGGGGGCGTTGGGTTTGCACGTGTGGCCAGTGGTCTTCTTGGGAACCAGCCTGATCTCACCTCTCCCCGAGTGCCAGAGTGCTGTGTCTGAACTCGACTTCCAGCAAGGATGAGAAAGACATATTCCTATTTGGGATGTCCTGTGCGATTGATGCCAAGAAGTTCTATGGCGGCAGTAAAACTGAGCGAGCTCATTCATTCTCTAATGAAAACAGACAGGCGGCGGCTACTGCCACCCTGTTGGAAACCGTCACTTGATCACTTCACACGCCGTACATCACGATATTGACGGCAGCCTTGTTTTTGCATGTCCTGGAAAGTCTGTATGTCTTCCTCTAAAGTGATAGGACCTTGGTCTTAGCCCAGCCATCCCAGCCCTGGTCGGTCAGGTTGTCTCCTGATGCACTTTCTGGGGCACAGGTCTCCACTAAGGCTGAAATTCCGTTTAGAAAATGTCATGGCTGGGTAGGAGTGTAGCTTGTTCAGTACAGTTGCCTGGTGGGTGCGAGACCTCAGATTTCTCCCCAGCACTGCACAGGAAAAGAAAAGCATTTGCACACCCCCTGGTCGTCTCAATAGCTGCGTTGTGTGCCCAGGCCATTCCATCCTGAGGAAATAGAAGCCCTCTCATCTCACTTAGAAACCTTCTCCTTTGCAGTGTGAAGGAGTGAAATTGGACTTCTGGAATGTTTTCTCTGGAAACAAATCGAGAGGCTGGTGCTTGCCAGGGAGGAAACCCTACCCCTGGGCAAAAGGCAGAGCCCCGTGGGTTTGAATAAGCATCATGTGTGTGCCAGATACATCCAGATTCCTAGTCACATTGGCTCCTCAGTTATGTAAAAGGAATTTGGTCGGAGACCACACTTAGCACAGTTGTTTCTTAACACAGACCACCCGAGTAAGCATTGCTTTCCCGAATAGTTCAGAGAAGTTTCCCCAACTGTGTATACTGCTGCATCTGGGGGACCAGCCTTGCTCTGTCAAAGCATATTCCTAGAACCATAAAACCCTGTTCTCCCTGGATAGTTGGTACATTACCTATAAATGTCAGGGCGCATGCTTGAGTCTCTGTGAGCCTTCGCATCCTCTCCTAACCTGGACTGTGGGAACTGCAGTTGAGACTCCCCACACTGTGACGCACCCTGCATGTCTCTATCGCTAGAGTGCTTCACATAGCATCATACTGGGCTCTGAGTGGCCGCTGCTGCTGCTGCTGCGGGAGTCACAGTATCAAGTGTTTTCCAGCTAAGTGAGTGGATCTCACTGCATTTTTAAAAAAATCTCTTGCTCTTCTAAATTAACATCACCGCCTGAGCACCTGCCCCGATACAGCTCCAACAACTGTGTGGCTTCGCAGTCCACGGATATGCAGATTACGTATTGAAGCATTTGCTGAGTCTTCCTACTCAGGTCGCTTTCCCTTCTCTTTAGATCCCAGAAAGTTCCCAGAGTTGCTCTTCTTACAACAGTTTCTGATCCTCCCTCTCCCCTTAGGTTATACTTTAGAAACCACAGGAGATAGATAGATAATTTGTGATTTAAGTTTATCACAAACTACAACTACGAGTAACAGAAAACAGAGGCTGCCAAGTTCACAAAGTGAGAGAGCATTCTTGTTCCTAGCACTCTGAAGTGTTTAGAAGATGAAGCCAGAACTAATGAGAGAGCTAAGCATTCTGTGACTTCCGAACATTGACACTGAATTTAATTGAATGAATGGATTTAATTTAATTGAATGTGTGGAGTCCAGAAAAGAGAATGCTTAGAAGTCAAAGACTGGATATGAAACTTTGTCTTCCAACCTGAAAGACATATCCATTTACTATTTGACATGTTTTGAATTCAGATAGTCCCCTCTGTCTGTGACAGCTTCACTGGCCAACCCCTGTTTTGTGGTGAAACAAATACATGCAGTGGGTCAGTGTTCACTCACACTGGGCCTAATTTAGAGTGGCCTCCTTATCTCTGCATATATTTTGAGAATGCTGTGTTTAGAATCCCTGAATGTGTCATTTTTCTGGAGGGTACATACAAACTTTTCCAGAGAGAACTCATATGCCTATCTGATTTTGTTGTTGTTTGTGTTTTAAAAACAGCTGGCTGTGTTTTGTGTATAGCTGGCTGGTCTGGAACTCATGGACATCTGCCTGCTTCTGCCCTCTGAGAGTTATTATTAAAGGGTTTAAAGGAATGCCTATCTGAATTTTAAAGCTGTTTTTGGTTTAAATAAGTTTTATTTCATTGTTTTAAGTGTGAATGCCCACAGTGAGATTTCCGGAAGTTTCCGCAAATACTAATATGAGCATTGTGGGTGGAGGCCTGAAGGTCAGTTAGACTGTTGGCAAGTAGATTCATTTCCTGTGGAGGTACTTGGGACTACCTGGGAAGCCTGAGTCCCTCCACACCTTCCCAACCATCAACCTTTTCCTCAACCTTCAAGCTTTCCTTGAAGTTACTTACTGAGTGTCACATATACCCAAGACTTCCCAGGGCTTCTTGTACACATTCTGGGCTTGTTCCTCACATCATCAGGGTGATGAAGCTAGAGCCTTCAGCCAGTGGCACATCTAAGTATCACACCCTTAAATAAGGGAGTTCAGACAGGAGTTCAGTGTGGATCCTGCTTTGAACTGAGTGCTCGCCTGTAGAAAAATGTTAAGCTGTGTGTGGAAAGGTGCAGCTCCACATGGGAGAAGGTCACTGACAGACATGTCATCTTGGTCGTTCAGCCTTGAGGGGCTTTGGATACCACTGACCTGACATATTTATTCATTATCCCCACCTCTCTCTCCCCTTCCCTCTGCTTCCCCAGTGCTGACCAGGCCCTGGACAGGTTTGCAATGAAGAAGTTCTATGATGACAAAGTTTCAGCTTTAATGGAGCCCTCCCAGAAGAGGTATGTATCTATCCTTGGGGACATCCAGAAGAATGTCCTCTGACCTCTTCTCTGCATTGCTATTGGGTCTTGCCTAAGAATAGGAGGGAGGGGTTTTCTGTTTACCAAGACAAGGATCCCACAGGTCTAGTAAATGCCTTGTGTCTGTTGAAAGCCTGTGTGCAGATGTGGTCCACTCCCAGAGAGGAAGACTCAGAGCCACCTCTCATTTCAGCCAAGAGGATCATTGTCTCCTTTGGATAACAAGCTTCAATTTCCATGATGGTGTTTAGCTCATTTCTGTCTTCTAGAAGAGGGAGTCTGTAAAGTTGATGGAGAGGCTAGAGGTTTCAGCCTGTGTAGTTTTAACTCACCAGTGTTTAACACAAAACCAGCCATATCTAGAATGGAAATGAGTGACTCTTTGTTCTAATTAAGCTGTATTGACACGAATGGGGTTTCAGGTCATCATAGGCTGACTTATGCTCTACGGTATCAGCTCCTTGAAGCCAGAGAGGATTTCTCTCGGAAGTCCTGCCAGCCTGTTCTGGCTGCAGTGTGTAGTAGCTGTCAGGGAACAGGACTTTCTCTTTTTGAGGCACTCACATAATTTCACTGCAGTTTTATTTTAAGGCAAACACCAGAATTCATCTAAGAATTTTGAAGGCAGCTGCAAAATGGTTCTCATTTTGGATTTAGGATTTAGTTGTAGCCCCAAACCTTTGTATGTGAGTCTTGATCCTTCACATCTGCTTTCTCTAATGCAGCTGCAGACTGGGCCAGCAGACATGATGATTCTAATGGTCTGGGTCCACTCACCCAGGTCTAGGTTTGGAAGAATGTGGGCTACATTGTGGAGCCACGGTTTGGAGCCAGGCTGTGTCCTGTTTTGAAGAACAGGCTCCACCGGGAAGCCACGTTTGCAAACTTCAGTGTATTACAATGGTCCCACTCAGACAGTGCCTGTTCTGTTTTGAACCCATGAAGTATTATTTTTTTTTCCACCAAGCAGTTTCCAAAATGGCAACATTCCTAAGATTTATAGAGAAGGCAAAGTGCAAACAAGATGCAACTCTCATAGATGCCTGGGCCCAGCAGGCAAGTGTGGCTGCCAGGACTTTGTACTTATAGAATCAGTAGCTTCTAATGATATTGGAAGAGTGTGAAGAGGAAACGGGGAAAACATCTCATTTTCAAGTGCTCACAGCTTTCACATACTCTCCTAGGCTTATATTTTACAGTGCCAGCAGGGTTCAGTTCTGAATTCCAAGCTACTGTTCTGCTCTTGAGATTAGGGCTGCCTTCTTTCTGTCTCTCGTTTGTTTTTTTTTTTTTTTTTTTTTACCACCTTGCCTGGTGCCTGTGCTAGAAGACACTAACCAAATAATTATTGAGTGGGCCAAAAACAGAAAGGATGTTTGGGGTAAGCGTCAGGAAACATGGGAGGCCAGAAGGACGTGTGGTAATTACACTCATGGGGCCATGCACCTCACCATTGTCTGAATGCCTGTGGACAGGGAATGCTGATCTGCAGATTATGTTAGGACCAAAGTCAAGAAATTATTTCAGAGTAAACATCACAATTAGCTCAACTGAGGTTGAGTGAGAAACTTATGATTTGTGGCTGAGAATCTTAGGCAACCATGGACAATGGAGGAACTGCCCAAAACCTTCCACAGGAGTCTAGATCTAGATCCTAACTGTAATCTTCAGAAACCCAAGGTCTTCACATAAAATGGCTTGGTGTTTGTGCAGAGCTGAGGCATATCCAGGTGTGCCCTGTGTGTTTTCAAGTTTTAATTAGTGTGCAAATTAATATATTGTTATAACAATTGATAAACATATATTACACATTATGCTCATATTTATATCTCTTTATCCTCTCCTGTTTCTCCACTTTCCACCGGTCCTCTTTCTTCCCCCAGACAGTTTCTTTTTTCTGTGCATGTGTGTGTGTGTAAATGTGTGTCTGTCTGTGCCTATAGCACATATGTAAAACTAGGTTCACGTACGAGAGAAGAGTTGGTATTTGTCTTTCTGGTAACCATGATAGTCTTTATTCAGTTCATCCACTTTGCTTCTTTCAGGCTGACTGTCCATCCACTCTGAACCATCTAGGTTTCATATAACGCTGAACACTGTAAACACTGAGTGCCTAGCTGTTATGCTCTACCGACTGTACTGTATAGGGAGTCATTAGAGGAAAACAACCTGCATGTCTTAGGTAAAGAGGCAGGGTGTTGTTTTTCCTCCAGAATATTTGATCTGAGGTTGGATGAATCTGTGGATGTAGAACTTGCCGACACCGACGCTTACTGTGGATTCTCTTTGCATGAGTCCACTGTGAGCTGAGCGGCCCCTAGTGGACAGCTGGGAAGATGATGACCATCAAGAGCAGTTCAGTGAAGAAAGTGATTGAGAACTGGGGTGCAGGTGGAGGTCTCCCTTTTCTTCCTGAGTAACCCTCCCATACTGGTGACTCTGCTCAGCTGCCTCATGAGTAAGCTTATGCAGAAGTGAAATTCTGCTACTCTTTACCTTTTTGCTGCACAGTGGAAAAAGTAGTACATTTTCTTTTTTCTTTCTTTATTTTTTTAGGCAGGGTCTTATATATCCAGGATAACTTTAAATCTGTGATCATCCTGCCTCTGTCTTCACAGTGCTGGGACCACAGGTATATTACTATGCCTAGCGGGGGGAAAACTCAAAACACAGTGTTTATGTTGTCTGACACCTGGGCAGCAGTCCCAGATAGTCATCCTACATCATGAAAGCTCCCCATCTGTAGTATTGTTATAGCTGGTGGCTTCTAGGCAGGGAGAAGTCTTAGCTCCCCAAAGGGTGTGTCCCACACAGAGGGTGGGAGTCACAAATCTTCAGGTTGCAGAGCTACATAGCATTCATCACGTATTAGGAAATATAAGCAGGCACCTTGTCTACCTAGTGCCTGGGTTGGGTGTGCATCGGAGCAGGAAATGACCATCAGTAACACAGAGCCCTCACACTCCTATGCACCTCTGTGTGAAGATCTGTCTTATCCAAGGGGCCACTGAATAGCCACCACACCAGGTTTGGCTTGCCACAGAGTCCCTTCATGGGAAAGACAAGTCAAGGACACATATTTCCTAGTGTCCACGATTGCCCAGGGCTGGAAAGATGGAAGAACTGTTTTAAAACAGAGTCTTAGATATTCCACCCTAAGCCTGGGTGCCACAGAGCCAAGGGAACTAATGAGTTCTGCCATGTACAAGCTACAGGTGATGGGTCATGCGATCTTTCTCCTCTCCTGCATCTGTACACAGCAGGCTAGGAAGCCTTGCCATCACAGTAAGCCCATGGAGCGGTGTAGAGGCCAGCCACTCATTCCCTGATTACCTGAGTTTGTGGGGACGTCAGGCTTCCATGACTTGAGAAGTTTTGCCCTCATTCTGACAAGAAGAGCAATGTGCTACTGGACCTGTGGGATGCTGACACCCCCTATCAGTCACTGTGGATTTGCCCTACAGTGAAGTGAAAGCTTGTGAATTATACTAAATCTTTCCAACAGGGTAGACCCTAAGTTGGGAAGACACTTACTAAAGGCTTTCTGTTTGGTTTATTTTGCCTCCAGACTCGGCTGTTCAACAGTGGTCTGGGTCTGCATTCCAGTGGGCATTAGAAGTGTTTTTGTTGTAAGGTAGAGCCCGTGACTGTGTTCATCCAGGGGCTTAGAGGTATGAGGACCCTGTGTCCTTGTATTGGTCACGGTCACTTCCTGCTTCCTGCTTGGTGCATGGACCATTAGTTTGATAGTGTGTTTTGGGATCATTGCTTGTTCCGTTTCTTTCCTCTTGCATTGAGTATAGTACTTGGGGGGAGAAAGGCAAGGAAGCAGACAGATTCCAAGAGAGGTGTTGCAGGCTCTGGTGACTACTGGCTGCAGTGGAACTGCTGTTAGGGGCCTTAGGGCATTGGCTGTCTTTGGGCTTCCATGGGAGCATGGTTCAGTTATGCCAGGCAGGGCAGAGGAAGGAGTGGTGGAGGCCAAGGGAGCATCAGAGTGTGGCGGGTGTAGCTCACCCTCTGGTCATTGCCACCATGTCATGCCTTATGAGTACCTTTTGATCACATACACTGAGTGTAGAAACGTCTCTCCTGACTGCCATGAGTGGGAAAGTGTGTGACAGTCAGCTTGGATGCCTGAGGTCAGGGCCTGGAATTCTCATGGCAAAAGTCACATCTTCAGCTCATATGGGTGGCCATGGGTGACCCTCATCAGCTGAGACAAGAGGGCTCAGGAGATGAGTGTGGGGAGAACAGGAGCCCTGGGTGGAATGAGCCATGTCACTCTGTATGTGGTGCTGGCCTTGCTGGTGAGGGGTTTGGGAGCAGGTGAGGAGACCCCAAGCTATGGGCATCCATGTGAAAGAGATGCTTATACATAAATGATACTGTCAGCAGTTCCCAGAGCTGTGGGTGGAGCTTCATCCAGGAGTGACTCCTCCACCTCCAAGCATAGGATAATAACTATTTTTTATACAGTGGGGGACAAGGTGTCCCTAGGGTCTCCAGACACAGTTTCCATTTTCTACTGCCTGCCCCTGAGACTCGGCAGCTGTGGGTCAGCTGTGGAGTCTTGGCCGCTGTCTTCCGCAGGTACGTGCAGTTTCTCAGTGGGCTCCTGTCTGGAGCAGTGAAGATGAATGCTTCGCCCTTGTTCCTGCACTTCGTCATCCTGCACGGCGTCCCCAGCTTTGACACTGGAGGAGGTGCGAGACTTCCCTGTCCAGACTGGAGAGCCCTAAACAAGCAGCCTTTTTCCCTGTGCTATCTAGATTCCATACCTATGGTTCCAGTGCATGGGTAGAGCTCCAGCTTTGTATGGTGGGAGTAAATCCTCAGTTCAAGGACAGATAAGCAGTTGTGAAGGGATTGCAACCCTGTGACCCAGGACATAAACTCCTGTTAGGCCAGGGTCTTTCTGAGTCATCAGCTCTGTGGTTTGGCCGTGTGCTTCCTCTCAAAGTTTCCATTACTTTGAGAGAAGCTAGTACCGGTAGACCATGCCCTAATTCAGGATCCTTCCTTCTTCCTCCATGGCATATTCCTATGGACCCCGTCTCCCTGTTTCTTGTAGGTGCTCTCAGCATAAGGCCAGAAACCTTGTACCCTGCCCCATGCAGATGCTCCCAGCATATGTCAGGGGTAGGAACTGTTGCATGCTCCCTGGCTACATTTATATAGGTGCTCACTAATTAGTCGATAGTATCTGCAGCATCTAGTCCCCCTGGCCATCAGGACTAAGGTGACCTTACCGAAGTGCAGCTCGCCTTTGAAACCCCATGTCTGATTAAAGCAGCCCTCTGGTGGGAGGTCCAGCCATGTTACTTTGTTGGGAGGACATCTGCACATATGTTAATGATCCTGTCTTTCCTTGGCACGCGCCTCTCTTTCAGCTTGCCGGCCCTTTCTGAAGCTCTACCAAGCCATGCAGCCTGTGTACACGTCTGGGATCTAGTAAGTGCACGGCTTGTGTGGGTGTTTAGGGTGGCTTGGGCAGTGGTTGTGAAATGGATTGTTTCTCCCACAAGAAGAAGTGGGGCAATGGGGCCCAATCATGCCAAGGGCCCTAAGCTGCTGCTCTGAGAGGGGCTAAGTCTCTAGCTGCCTCCATTAAGAGATTGAACAGTGGAGCCTCGAGGGTAGAGCGGAGCCATTACTGTTTGGAAGTGGGTATACCAGAAAGTGCTAGGACAAAGTTGTCCTTTGTTTTTGCTTCTCCTTTGTGTTCTAGGCCTCCTCAGAATTTGTATGGCTTCCTGAGATTGGTTTGCAATGTATGTAGGTAGCACTTTGTGGACATGAACAAAAAATGAGAAAGGCAGGAAATGTCCTGGTCCTGGTTATTCCTAAAGATTCATTATTCCTTTTCTGGGCTCATAATGCCCCCCTCTCCTCTGCAAATATGACACTGTGAAAGTTGTATTCTCCATTTGTCACATAAGTGGCATCTGTCCCCAGCTTGGTACCTCTCTGGTTGAGGTACCTGAGCATTACTTTTTCAGTGCAGGGCTACAGTGGCGCTAGAATAATTCACCTGAGCTCAGAGCTTTCTCAAACCTTTTGACTCATTTCCATGAGGTAAAGCTTCTGAATGTGGACTTCTGCGCTGTTTGTGTAAATTCTAGCTGTTGTCTCAGCTTGCACTACCGTGGTCGTATCGTGGAACCGTATAATGTTCTGTTTTCTTGTTTATCCGAAGCAATGTTGGCCCCGAGAACCCCAGCCGGATCCGCATTGCCATAGAGCCGGCCCAGCTGCTGAAGGGCGACACCATGGTGAGTACCCGTGTGCTATACAGCCATTGTTCTCAACCACCCAGAGGGGTGACCTAAAAGGAAAAGGGCTTTCTCCTTAGAAAAAAAATCATCCGGTTTACAACCGTCTTCTCAAAGAAAAGAAAATAATAACAGGAGAATGAAAAACAGCACGGCACTAAGGGCTTTAATTTGTAAGTAAAAATATTGTAATTACAGTGACAGATCTTTGTCCTTGATCATCTTTTATAACAGAGATGCTGGGTCTATGCAAAACAAAGTCCCTACTCAGCCACAGCCCCTCTGAGCAACTCGTTGCCTGACCTCCTTTGTGATCCCAGGCCTCCCGGAGTCTAGTAGCAAGAGCCAAAGTGTTGTTACAGTGTGGTTAATGATCAAAACAGTGATTTCTCCAGATAATTTTGTTCTTGGTGGAAATTAAACATTACTTTTTCACCTCCTGTCTGTCTTGAATACACAAGAATCCATATGTGTAAAGTAGTATTAGGAAAGGTTTTGTCTGGAAGCCTGCAAGGTATGTGTACAGCTTCTAATATGTGTAGAATAATTTAGATACGATCTTTTTGTGGTCTTGGCAGGCCTACTCTGTTGAGATGGTGGGTGATTTAGGAGTTCATGTTGCCTTTTATTATACATAGCTTACCTGGAGTGGGCACCTCCCTACTTTCAAGAACAGATATGTTGACTGTCATACCTCTCTGTGAGCTGTGGGAGGTGGTGGAAAACCTGAGATGAGGAGGATGACTGAGGAGGATGACTGGAGGTACTCCTCAGAAAAGCAATGCCAAGCCACCACCTGAGTTCCCTGTGCATGGACTGGTGGCTTCTGAGCCTTCCACAACCAGCGTGAGAACTGTACAGAAGTTATGTTGCCTTTGTGGCATCTCCTCTCCTCCAGCTGCCTTCCTCCTTCTCTCTTCTCATCTCCTTTGTCTTTCCTCCCATAGGTTCCTTCTTTTCTTCCCTCTTTTCCTCTCTCTTTCCCTCCTTCTCTATTGCCCCCTCTCCAAAGTTTTTAATTTTTACTAAGTTAACTGTCTTGAGCATTTTTTTTGTTTTTGTATTTTTTTTTATTGTTATTATCTGGTGTTTGAATTTCCAGTCTTAGTGCTGGGTACAAGAAGGACAGAGGTACAGAGTGATTTCTTTGGCTTGGAAGTACCTTTTGGGGAGATAAACTGTATTGCAGAAGAGAACCTAAAGGTGTTTCACAGGCCAAAGGAGCCTAAGATGGACATACCTGCATGACTCAGAAAGATCATGGCAGCTTGGCCTCACTCTTCCTGGTGGTACCTTCCTTAGCATGTCTGTCTTCGTGAGGAAGCTCATCATGTTGGAAAAGGACATGCCTGATCCTTTTCTTTTGGGTGTTGTAGCCTCTGCCTAGTGAAGACCAAGCTTAAGTTCTATGAACATGGGAGAAACAAACTCATGTCAGTGTCCTGGGACAGTGCCTGGCAGGTGGGGAAGTGGTGGAGGAACAGAATGGGAGACGGACCACATCATGTCATCGTATCGGAGAGATGGTCCCTCAGCCGTAAGTGGCCACCCTGTCTCCCCTGAAGAGGACTCCCTGATCAGGCACCCCTGCCTTACATTATGTGCCTCATAGTGGGCAGCATAGCCAGAACATCGGCCCCAGTAAACACTACGTGCACAGTGGCCACCGGAAGGAGCTGATTAGAGGGTCTGTCGGGGGGAGGCAACACCCAGTCACTGAGGTGGTTCAGAGAAAAATCAGGTGACACAGTGAAGGAATGAAGTCCTGTGTGGGTGAGGAGATGTTTACTGGTGGGCATGCCTGGACGTGGTTTGTTCCTGGCCCTGTGCGTCCTTGCGGAGCTGGCTGCTGCTCTGGCTCAGGAAAGCATGCCTGTGGGTTGTTGCCTGGCTAGGTGAATGATGATGAGGGTGGGCATCGGGAGGCCACCTGGAGGCAGCTCGTACCACATGTCAGTGACCTGTAGCTATTGAGTTATACTTGTAAGCAGGCTGTTATTTGAAGCCATTCACCTCAGGGGCTATACTATTCTGCCCCTTTGCAGGAGGTTTGAACTGACGATATTTGAACCTTCACAAAAATCTAATTTTCAACTTGAACTTGCAAGCCCATTTGATGCCAGCTGGGGACCCTCTTAGGTGTCAGTTGAGAGATGGTGGTCAGGCTGGTGGTTACAGAAGGCATTGAGTTAGGGTAAGATCAGTGCCATGGTACCATGTAGGACATTTTTACACACACCATGTGGCCCCCCTCTTTATAGCACATAGGACTTGTGAGGTCCTGTGTGTACGTTTCTATAGTCACTGAAATGGAGGGATGAAGGCAGGAACAGCAGCAGTCCCAAAGAGCACAAGGTACTCCCAGAAGAGATTCTGGCCTCAGAACCAGAAGCAGAAAGTGAGTAGCAGTGGGTATTTGAGCAATCCCAAGAGCCAACGGGTCTGTCATGTGTGGTCCATTGATCATAAAGCACAGCCAGGCATGGCGGCCAGGAGTCAGCCTCTAGTGAGAGCTGAAGTTAGGGAGCTGCTGGGACCGAGAGACCAGGGCTGTGGCAGGCAGGGAATGTCTTTCTGAAGTATGTTGCAGTTGAGCTTAAACATGAAGCCTGTGTAGAGCATGTATCAAGAAGAAAGGCTGTGCTGGTTGGAGGTGTTGTGAGCACAAGCTGCGCCCCTTTCTTTGTGCTTGCTGGTCGCCCCTGTTCAGGCTAGTGCCATCCAACATGGGTGCACTGACTAGGGCGCTTACACAGTGTTCCCGGGTGTTTACACTGATGCTCACAGGTGTTTACAGGCAACGGAACTTTCTTTTTCGTGGTTCTGCATATTGGAAGGCCAGTGTCCAGGGCTGGCAGGTTGCAGAGCTGGTGGGGATCTGATTTCTTGTTTGTAAGGTCACCCTGTGTACTCACCAATAGGAAAAAGGCTCTGGAGTCTCAGAGAGTACTAATGGCATTTGGAATGCCTCGTCCTACTGACCTTATCTTGTCCTAAGCTCCCTCCTTCTCATACTGTCCCCGTGGAGTTTAGGAGATACAAACAACCACAGGACAGGTTGACAGGGCTCCCCTCTTGGCATGGTAGCTGCCTGCCTGGCACCTGGCCCCTTAGGAGTGCCTTTGCTTGCCTCTGAGTAGGCCCCAAACCTCCTGGTCACCTTCCCATTTAATCCAGGCTTAGAAAAATTGAAACCTGAGCCTAGACCATGCACTGCTCAGCTCATTGGTGGCGTCCTCTCCATGTGATGCCCACCGTGCCACGTGTGTGTTTGCCTCATGGACCTGCTAAGGCCCTGTGAAGCAGAGCCTCTCCCAGATGCCTGGCAGCTATCTGCCTCTGACATAGTGTCTGAGCCCTCTCTCCCCTGCCCCCTGCTGGTCACCTTCCTCTTCTCTATTTGTGCTGCTCCCAACAAGCTGCAGGTAGTCCTTCATAAGGAGTAGGGATGGCTATTCCCTGGGTGTGTGGGCATGCTGGGAAAGTGGGGAGCATAACGCATGAGATTCAGGCTTGAGATCCTCTGGAGGTGAACTTCATGCACAGGACAGCCAGCTGCTCGTGGATGACTCATTTCCATCAGAAGGGCTGGCACACAGGAGGTTCTGGATCTTTCCGCAAGAGATACTTGGTTTTGATAAGATAGTTTCCTTCCTGCACCCCTTCCCATTCCTCAGATGGAATATTTTTAGGATTGTGTTACGATTTGATTTACACTTCCTGTGTTTACAGTTCTTTTCTGTGTACTCTGCACTTATTTTCTGCAGTGTTATCAGATAGGAAGAGGGAGATATGGCAGCTGACAAGGGTATTTTTCCACCACAGTGTAGCTTTTCCTTGTACAGTCCATAGAGGTGACTGCATCGAGGTTGACTCTCCGTGCTTCAAAAATCTGCAAGTGCTTTTAGCCCATTGTATTCTGCCAGCACTGCCACAGTGAAGGGCCACCACACACTGGGTGGTTTGCGAAAGACTCGTGCAAGAAGTTCTCTCTGTTCTCTCAGTTTTGAACACTGGAAATCCAAGGTCAAGGTGTGAGCAGGGTTCGACCTTCCTGATGTGTGTCATGGGTAAGTGGTCTTATCAGTGTCATTTCCCTGGGCCTTCACTTCTTCTTACAAGGACACCAGCTCTAGTTCGGTCAAGCCAGTCCTGATGGCCTTATTTCAATGCCCTTCATGAAAATGTTATCACTGAGGTCCCATTCTGAGGCCCTGAGGCTTTTGATTTGTAGACATGTGAGGGCATCGCTGAGCCCACATCAAGGGAAGTATCCTCGAATGTGTGGTATGATTGGCAGTCAGCCTCAGCACAGTTGGCGACTGGACACGCGTGCTAGGCCTTATCACTAGCCTTCACTGGTGAGCAAGTTCTCAGATCCTTTGGCCTAAACTGGGTGGTATAGGAAGTTTGTAGAGACACGCTCAGCGCCTGCTCCCAGAGCTTAGACTCAAGTGTTGGATTAGCCACATAGGCAGACAGGTAAACAACACAGGTGGCAGGCTGCTGTGTGCACAGACGTGAGCTGAAGACCAGTGACAGTGGAAAGACCCTTTCCCCAGTCAGGTAAAAAGTAACTATGGAATAGCTGGTGTCGTCTGTGCTCCGCCCAGAGGTTGCAGTAACAAATGTCCCAGGCCACTCTAAGGTCGTAGTCTGTGGAGCCTGCCTTGTGCCGTAGCTCAAAAGTCCCATGCTGCTGGTCCCACGTCAAGAGGAGTTCAGGAAAGAAAAGATGCCGCAACATGTTCTTTGCTGGCAGCGCTCCCATGATAGTGAGCCATGCCATCGCCATCATCCATCCTGTGTCCTGAGGTTTGGCAACTCAGGACTTACCCCACGTTCCTCCCTCCGCAGCCTTGCCCATCTAAATGAGCCAAATAGACCTTCAAAGCACAAGCCATCCCCTGCGGGTCTCGCTTTGGTACGATCCTTTGCTTCTCCCCATTATGCCTGATGTGCTGTGCTGTGGGTGTACCAACCGGAAGGCTGCAGGTGGG